CGTGTAACGAGGATGGCCGGCCATAGGGCCACCTTGTCGTGAATTTGTTTAAGGTGTAGAACCTGTCGCCAACACAACACCCAAAGTTAACGAGCTGCATGACCCAGTGTCAAGGAATAGTCCGAGAAGACCGGACAACACTCCAACTACACTGGCTAACCATTACCCCAGAACACAATCCGCAAATCGATTAACATCCAGGCTTCCAATTACTGCTGGGTAGACAGAGGCAAATAGCGTTAAGAAACTTGTCCATAGTATCACCCTGCCCGGGGATCGAACCCGGGTCCACTCGCTTGCGAGGCGAGCATGCTGACCATTACACCACAGGTCGCTACATAAACACACACAACACACACGAGGTACGAACACAATCATAACAGCAGCCAGGGATTAAGGTGTACAGAGATTGCTTAGGGCGACGACACATGCAAGTGACACTTCCTGTTTCCCCTGACCTCCCCACCTCCCTGTACGACCCATTACCTCACACCCTACCAGGCCCAGAGAGAGAGAGAGAGAGAGAGAGAGAGAGAGAGACTAACGCATAAATGATAACAATAACACAGCACCACAACACTAACAACCACCACTACTACCACACAGCACCACACCACCAACCACCACTGCCACCACACACAGCACCACAACAACAACAACAACCACCACACTACTACCACACAGCACCACACCACTAATATCCACCACTACTACCACACAGCACCACACCCACCACTAACAACCACCACTACTGCTACCACACAGCACCACACCACTAACAACCACCACTACTACCACACAGCACACCACACCACCACATCCACCACTACTACCACACACAGCACCACACCACGCACAACCACCACTACTACCACACAGCACCACACCACCAACAACCACCACTACTACCACACAGCACCACACACCACACTAACAACCACCACACCACACAGCACCACACCACTAACAACCACCACTACTACCACACAGCACCACACCACTAACAACCACCACTACTACCACACAGCACCACACCACTAACAACCACCACTACTACCACACAGCACCACACCACTAACAACCACCACTACTACCACACAGCACCACACCACTAACAACCACCACTACTACCACACAGCACCACACCACTAACAACCACCACTACTACCACACAGCACCACACCACTAACAACCACCACTACTACCACACAGCACCACACCACTAACAACCACCACTACTACCACACAGCACCACACACCACTCAACAACCACCACTACACCACACAGCACCACACCACCAACCACCACTCACTACCACACAGCACCACACCACTAACAACCACCACTACTACCACAGCACCACAACACTAACAACCACCACTACTACCACACAGCACCACACCACTAACAACCACCACTACTACCACACAGCACCACACCACTAACAACCACCACTACTACCACACAGCACCACACCACTAACAACCACCACTACTACCACACAGCACCACACCACTAACAACCACCACTACTACCACACAGCACCACACCACTAACCACTGCCACCACAGAGCACCACTACCAAAATAACAAAACAATAACAAAAGCTAATTAAGAAGACTCACACCCTGGTTCAGGCCTGGGAACATTAAGGTGTTTAATAAAGGCATTTTAATTGAAGGAAGGGGAGGTGCACCTGGCGCCATCTATGAGGAATACATTACACTAGACTCCAGAACACCGCCACCGCCTCCCATACTCTAGGGGGGGGGAGGGGGGAGGAGGGGGGGGGAGGGAGGAGGAGGTGGAGGTTAATTGGGATATTGACTAAAATATACAGGGTCTGACTACTATCTATATCCACTATACAGGTTAAAGGAATTGTATATATGTATGTATATATGTATGTATGTATTTATGTATTGTAATGCTGTAACCGGAGGCCTTGGCGGTAAAATACGACACTTTGATGAAATGTACAAGTGCGACTCTGCTGCCCCATCCCTCGTCTTCATAGTGACAGGGAGGGGTGATATACGGAGCCATTATACTGTGTCTATATTATTGATGTACAAAGATATTACAATGTTCACGGTAAAACGCAAATCTTCACTATAAGGTTCTATGTATATCAAAACACACACCTTTAAACACTATATCGCCCTAAATGTTTATATACTAAAAGCTATATTACTATAATGGTATTAATGACATACAAAGCTGGATTTAAAAGCTATAGGAGCCCCAGTAAAGTAACTAGTAGAAAGACTGCTATTAAAACTTCATTAACAAATTACATACTGGTGTTATTACGTCTACCAGCTCTGCCTTTGTTTACCCGACATATGTTAAACAAACTCGTGTGTAAACCGAAAAAAATTCCCTTCACAAAGTTATGACTAACCGAAGTGTATAATACAGTACTATGTATACATATCACATACTTAAACCTTTTAAATATGACTAATTAAGAAAATAATCTAACTTTAGTTACTGTACTAATTTTACTAAAACAAAGTGGGCTTATGTAGTTTCTGAGATAAATATTTCCATTGGATCTTTGAAATCCAGTTCACGCAGTATGTCACGTTCATGGTTAGTTGAAAAAAACAAATAAGCTATACTCTAGCTCCGCCCCCCTGATCCGGCACTGATGATATAAAACTAACAGCACCAAGTACGCTGTCAGTTGCTTCAATAATTTGCATCTACCCAGATTTGGTCTTAATCCACTTGGCGGAGCGGAGCTGTAAACTGTTCACCTACTCGACAAACTCTACGAAACCCAACTAGTGTCAGTGCACGGAACTATCCATCACACTGAGTAGGACCAATATCTCTCTACCATATTACATTACCAAGGTTTATCGTCGACACTGACCTAATCTTTCTCCGTGAACCGATACTAAGAAAAAGTGACAGGAAATAAACGGTTAAAGAAGAACACACACACACAATTATAACCCTGGCACCAAGGGACCTGCCAGCCAGCAACCTCACGCCGGCGGGGGATCAACGGGGTGGATTAGTTGCCTCTACAACGGTGTGTACACGTCGCATCACTTCGCCACGGTCATCGCCACCATAGCCCACGTGTAGTTGTTGCCAAAAACATTGTGCCCCGCTGCTCCCAACACACAACAAGCCCTTCCCCGTGATGGAGGCCTCGGACAGCAGGACACGGAACGTCACAGTAATCCCGGTCGGATAATGGTGAAGAGTAACCCTCGTCCAACGCCTCGTAAGTGATCTGGCAGGATCCTCGGGTAAGGGGGGCGGGATGTAGCCGATCTAGTTCTTGCTGCCCCTCCCACAAGCGCTGTTATTCTAATCTAAGCAACTCCTAACCCTATGACGACTTAACGTGTCCTAACAACCAGTCCTAAATTAAATCAAACCTAAATTTAAATCTTACGTTTTGAACCTAATTCTATCTCGCCATAACTAATAATATAATAATATATATTCAGTAAAATTGCCATGCAGGTTCACAATTGGATAGGCATGTATTGGTATATAAACTACGAAGTTCAGAATGATATAAACAATATAGGTGCACGTATAGGCCGTGGGAGCATACAGTTTCCTGTGTGCCTAGACAGTGCAGGTAGACAACAATGGGTGAACAGTGAGGCAATTTGACCAAAATAATGTGTCGCATTGTTATTTCCAGGATTCTTATCATAACATACAACTAAATTACTCGTATATGTAACCTAACGTAACCTAACCTCAACCTAACCTCAACCTAACCTCAACCTAACAAATCCAAAGTATAAAAAAACCTCACCTAACAAACTATATTAAACCCAAATTAAACTTTTAAGACCTTCCTAATCGTGAACCACAATCAGCCAACACCACCCTCACCAAACATACCCAGGACGAAAGTAGGTTCAACGCTGTACAATGTCATGGATACCAACCTCATAATGGGCGAGCAACCAATACACGCAACACAAAGTGGCCGCATGAACGTGGTGGATTCTGCCCAAACTGCTGCGAGAAGAGGTGGGGTGGGGTGGGGGAAGCTGGCGTTGATCCCTGCACGCCAGGCACTAGGTTTTTTTTTTTTTTACGGATTAGCCACCCAGGCACAAGTCAATGACCCACATCGGGGCTTGGGGCGAAATGTAGTAGTAGTGTGACAATAATAAAGAATTACAAAAAGTGAAAAACAATATATGTATGTTGTGTCAATAGTAAAAACAATTGAGACCCTGCAATTGTGTGTAAATGAGGCAGAAAGTCAGATCAGCAAACCTGGGACCCTGGTCACATTTCGTGATGCCATATTACCCCTCCCTGAGAAACAAGAGAAGCTCCACGGTGTAACAATATGAACTGGGTTTTTTCTAGGTTTTTTTAACGTACGTGTTCAGTTTTTGTGTCGTGAGGGTAGCTCGGCCGACACTCAGGGATTATTTCTGTCCGTCTGTTCATATCGTCAGTGACTTCATTCGTTGTCACGCCGACGAACACAACGACTCACTGACCTAATCTATCTGACTCTTACACATAAGCGACAGAGGAGTTCTTGCGGTTACATGCACGTCACCAGACAAGTGATGGCCATTTTATTAGCTAACATCACTAAAACAACAACAAATGCATATAAAGAATAAATACTAACAACGATATACAAAACAGCTTCTGCAAAACAATACGAACATCAACAGCCCCATAAAATCACATAGATAATACTAATAACAATAACGATAAATAACGGTGTAGTGACGTCACATTATATTTATTGATCAGAGAGGAAAAACAACACGTGAGCTTATAAGTAAACAAAGTCTTAAATCTCCCTCGTAACAACTCTTATAAAAGGATCCATTTAATAATAAATCCTGAGCCAAGGATGTAGTTTTATGGGTGCGTCATTGGGATAAAAACTGACCTAACCTACGTAACCTATTGACCTTACTATCTCTACTTAAGGGTTAGTGTCATCTTAGAGCTTTTTTTTAATGTGTAATAAAATCTTCGTTGTTTGTCACCTTCTCAATATCACTAGACCAAGGATCGCTGATTGAGATATGAACATTTCAAAATACGACGATGGCCGTATGAGGTCTATTACAGTCACAAATCCTGTAGTTAAGGTGTACATGGCAGATATACTATTACCCGACAACTTAAGACTCTGCTCTAGGTTAAATTGACACGTTTCTTGCTGTCTTATGTCTATGGTGTTCATGTACAGAGTGGGTGGACTATAAATCTGTGTATCTTTGTACAGAACATAAATCAGTCTACGATGGTTCATTTTACTTTTACCTCTATCCTCTTCGCCACCCATCGGCGTGTTAGCCGCTTGAGCGGTCGGACACGTTTCTGATACGCACTGTTGACAGATACTGGGCATGGACTGGCTCCTGAATATATCGGAACCTGCTCCAGTGTTGGTCAAGTCTGGCCTTGAATGAGCGTGAGCTCATAAAAATCTCTGGCAGATTGTTCCAAGAGTTCACAACTCTCACTCCGAAAAAGTTGCCCTCACAGTTTTCTGGACTTGTGGCTTCTTCAACCTTGTGGGGCGGACGTCCGCCAGCTCCAGGTATGTACAGTCTCGTTCAACATTCTTCGAACACTGCTGGAGACAGCTGGCAACTCAAGGCCGTTTGTTTACAATAGTGAGTAGTAAAAAAAATGAATGAATGTAAAAGTGATCGGTGATTGGTTACTTAGTTCCCTGTTGCTTTATTAATGGTTGGGCTTCGTTGTTTCGTATTATAGTATACTACATACTACAGTAAACAAACGGCCTTGAGTTGTCAGCTGTCTCCAGCAGTGTTCGAAGAATCTTGAACGAGACTGAACATTCGACCGAGTAGTGCCCCCTGAGATGTTTATACACTTCGATTAGGTCGCCCGATTTTCAATCAATCGACAGTCTCTAGCACACCTCGGGGACCAGACGGAAGTATAATGCGCCCAGAAATTTAATATATAGTCTTGTCGTTAAGAAAGTGGCGCCACTTTTCTACACCTGTGACGAAACAAACACGGTAATGGTGTTGAGGACTTACCTTGTTGCCGTTGCTAGGGTTGGCGGAGTAGTAGGTGAAGGAGGTCATCCCCGGGCGCCAGTAGGTGAGGGTGTAGGCGGGAGTGTACTCCATGCCCTGGCCGTTGGCATGGCGGCCCTGTGTAGCGACGGCCGTCACCAGGCGGGAAGCTCCAAGGTCCACCTCCAGCCACTCCTTCTGTCTCGCATCCACCGTCGACCTGGGGCACCACGCTCCTCCCCCGCCCTCCATGCCCAGCCTGCAAACAACCAAACAATCAATAAACACTACCCAGCCTGTACACACACACACAACTCAACCTTCACAGAGCAATAAAAACGATAAAGGTGAATCACATGATATATAATAACCTGAGAAACACAAGCAGTAGTCACCGTCACAATCCCTAGTCCCAGTCTAGACACAAACATGAGAACTAAGTAGATGAAGACTAAGATGGAGTGTAAACATAAGCAGCTCAGTACTGACACGAGTAGCGGCTCCACAACACACCTGGGTATTAATAACAAGAAAAACAAATACTGTACACACTAGGCTTACCACACTACACACAAGCTGTACCAAATGTTTTCAATGTTGAAGATTTTGTATTTGTTATTCACGCGTGGTGCCGTAATCCACACACCTCCACGTCGTGCACCAGACTGGCAGAGTGGCAGGGAAAGTGTTGCATTGTTGGTACGCCTGCTCCCTGTATTCACAATATACACAACATACGCACTTAAAAAATATCTACAGGAATAACACTCAAATTATTGGTCATTTTAAAATTGTGGCAGGAACCTTTAGCCAGATAATTTGATCCACATAATAGATAATGGTGCACTGTATACCAATAACTGGTCAGCTGTACCAACCGTTTCGAAACAACCGGATTCACACTGCTCACAAAACTAAGAACCACAACGACCAACTACGACCAACGATCTAGTGCTAACTCTAGTGCACCGCCCGTCAAGCCGCCATGAACAAAATTTGAACAAAATGAACAATATGAGTCATAACCTTAAAATAATAACTTGTTTTGTCAACGTACTTGGTATTTTACCCAAATTTTAACTTGCTATCCTAAAAAGTGCCTAGATAATTATCGTCCAAAGTAAAAAAACCGAAGCAAGCGCTGGTTCATTCACCATGGAGTGCGAGCCTTGATTACTGCTGGCTATAACACGTGCTGTGAATTTTCAAGTTAAACCATTATCAACGTACATCTAAGGTCCTGCCATCACAAGTATAAGTAGGAGCGAGACGAAGGAACGTGTACAGCTAGGGCAACGACTGTACACACACTGGTTAAGTTTCTCTGTCACGTCTTGGAACTGAACCTTGGAGTCCATGATTTAACAATTGCATTTTTTTATTCCAGTCAAATAAGAGATATAATAAAAATGTTCGCCTTTGATCTGGCATTCGTTATGACAGACAGACAGACAAGTACTGTACACTATAAATCCTGCCTTTATTGGCGAAGACAATAAAAAAAAAGAAATACAAGACACCGTGGAGAGTATAGGAATGAAAGAAGGAGGGAGTGTTGATAAAAGAAAGGGGGAAGGAAGGAAGGAAGGAAGGATGGAAGGATGGAGGGAGGGAAGGTGAGGGCTAAGGAGGTAGGGAATGTTGACAAAAACAGAAAGGGAGTGGGGAGAGAAGATAAGGGTGAGTAAGTGAGGGAGGGGTGAGGGTTGAGGGGGAGGGAGTGGGGTGAGGGTTAGAGAGGGGGGGGGGAGGGGTGAGGTTAGAGGTAGAGAGGAGGGGGTGAGGGTTAGAGGTAGGGAGGTGGGTGAGGGTTAGAGGGAGGAGAGAGGGAGGGTGTGAGGTTGGGGAGGGAGAGAGGAGGGGGTGGTTAGAGAGGGGGACGGAGAGGGAGGGGTGGGGGTTAGGGGGGAGGTAGAGAAGGAGGGGAGGGAGAGAGGGAGGGTGAGGGAAGGAGGGACCCGTTACCTCGTGAGAGACACATGTTTGTAATCCGGAGATAGTGTCGTCCTGTCACTGTTGATAATTGTATGTGTATATATATATGTGTGTGTGTGTGTGTGTGTGTGTGTGTGTGAGTGTTACTCCTCTATTCATCACTATTATTATCCCGGCTTCATCATCACCATCACCATCAATTTCATCTCACTGTCAAAAGCTCTTCCAATTCATCAGTACTAGTCTCTTATCATCATTCTTCACCATCCTGCTATCATAAATCCACGTCACTATCACTTCATCATCACTATCGGACCCCCTTCATCATCCTTGCGTCATCACTTTCATCTTATATTTTTAATGATTAAATTTTCTTCACTATCAATGTCATTATCAGAGAGAGAGAGAGAGAGAGAGAAAGAAAGTAAAAATTGAGAGGGAGAGAAAGTGAAAGTGAGGCATTGTAAAAGGGGAAAGGGAATGAGGGGAGAGGGAGAGTGAGTGGGGGAGAAAAATGCTCCCACCAATTTTTCTTCGAGCTCAAAAAATTATTAATTTCCCCCCACTTAACTTCCAGCCATCTCCCATCTCACCTCTCTCCCAGCCCACTCGCTTATTACTCCACTCACTCTCCCAGCCCACTCGCTTATTACTCCACTCACTCTCCCAGCCCACTCGCTTATTACTCCACTCACTCTCCTTAGCCCACTCATGCCCTATACCTCCCGTACTCGCTTATTACCTCCTCTCACATCCACTCTTAATGTCCCTCACTCTCCAAGCCCTCAATGCTGCGCCCTATTCACCCCTCTGGCTTACTCCTTGTACCCCTCTATCTCCCATATAACCCAGCCTCCCTCACTCCAGCCCTCCTTAATACCCCCTCACTCTCCAGCTATCATGTACATAAGCTCTCCCAGCCCACACACTTATAACCCTGTCACCTCCCAGCCCTCATACCTCCCTCCTCCTGCCCTCCTTATTACCTCACTCGCGTATAACCCTGTTCACCCCTCCCAGCCCACTCGCTTACCTCACTCTCCTGCCCACTCATATTACCCCACTCACTCGCCCTTATCTGTAACTCACTTATTACCTCACTCTCCCTGCCCTTTAACTTATTACCCCACTCACTCGCATATAACTTCTTCACCCCTCAGCCCTCGCTTATTACCCCTCATCGCTTATTACCCCAGTCACTCGCGTATAACCTATTCACCCTCTAGCCCACTCCTTATTACCCTCCACTATCCACCCCACTCGCTAATAACTCACGCATTCTTCCAACCGCCACTCCTTTAGCCTCCTCTACCAGCCCCTCTTCTGGGCCAACTCCCCACCTCCTTTTCCTAATCTTCCCACCTCTCCCATCCCTCCAACGATCTTAACTGCATCTCCACCTCACCCATCCCATTCAAGCAATCCCTCTCTCTTAATCACCAACACCTCTCCCACCCCCCCTCTCCCACCCCACTCTCTCAAACCAGTCTAAAATGCCGTAATCTAGAACACTCACTCACCCAAGACCATCTCAAGCAGCGACATCATTTTTGAAGTAGATAATAACAGCCTGCAGAAGGAAGACCTCGATAGGCCTATAGGATCCTTATACAAACCTCCTTCATTCATTCATTCCTTCCTTCCTTCCTTCATTCCCTCTTCTCTCCTTCCATTCTTCCTCAACTCCATCCCTTCATATAATAATTGCAATAACTAAAAAATAAAGATGATAATAATAATAAATAAAATAAATAAGGAGCCAGCAGCACGTCCCGAGGAAGAACAATGTTGAATAAGATAAGAAATTCAGTATTGTGATAAAGAATGAATGTGAAAAAATAATGAATAAGAGAGAGAGAATAAAAAAAAAGGTGGATGAGTGAATAAATAGAATGAATGAGAATGAATAAATATGTTAGAAAACGAGTAAATGAATAAGGCATTACTCGAGTGTTTAAGGGACAGAAAAAAAAAGAAAATGTTAAAAAAAGATGAATAAAAGTATAAATAAAGTCGAAATGAATGAAACATAAAATTCTACAAATAAAAAAAAGATACAAAGGAAAAAATGCAAAAAAATAAAATCCAATAAAGGACCGAAAAGAAAGAGAGAGTACCTGCTGGCAGTCGTGAGGAAGGCGTTGCAGGTGGAGAAAGAAAGGTGGGAGGAGGAGAGGAAAGGGGGAGCAAGGAGGGAGGAAGGGAGAGTGGGGAGACAAAGGAGGGGAAGCAAAGTAGGTGGGGTGAGAGAAAGCAGAAGTTTTAAATGGAATTGGGAGAAAAGGAGGGAGGACAGTGGAGAGGGTAGAATAACAGAGTGAAGAAGAGGCAGTGATGGAAGAGAGGAGGAGAGGGGGTGTAGAAATGGGTAGTGGGGAGAAGGGAGGGAGGGAAGATAGAGGAGAGGAATAAATGTAAATTAAGGGTGGGGGGAGAGGTAGAGGAGGTAGGGGAAACGAGGATAAAAAAGAATGGGGGGAGGGAAGAGAGAGCCGCCCACATCGAGTTATGATATTAAGTTAGAAGTGAATAATGGCAGGAACAAGGAGGAGGTACAAAGGAGGAGGAAAGGTTATGGAGGTAGGGAGGTAGGGAAAGGTGATAGAGGGGGGAGGGAAAAGAGGAGGAGAAAATGGGTGTACGTGGTGATTAGAAGACAAGGGAGGCGCATTATATACAACAATGGATTACCTGTGGTTAATAATGCAGTGATTGAGGAGAATAATGACCTGTTGGTGACCTAGAGAGCAGTACAGTATTATGACGTCATAACAACCCCCAACACCTTTACAGATAATTTATTCTGCCGTCCTATCATACGACATTATTCTATCATCCTAGACGAGTATACTCAAATGGTCGTAAGTTAAAATGGGTGATTCGTCAAGACGCCTGGCTGAGACGGGGTATAGGTACACTTCAATATGTAGCCATCCTAAGGACCTTTGATGATAGGGGCCATGATAGAGCTTACGAGTTTACCGTATGTACTTTTGGATCCTGGTCTCGTAAATCTCGTCTCTCATTGGCTGCCTCTCCATCCCCCTCCACCCAGACAATCATCTTATTCACTTTAATTTTCCTTCATCAATTTCTCTTTTTACAATCAAATATAATAATAATATTCCTTTATCCTTTACCTCCGTCTTATATGCATCCTGTAAGATATGAATAAGATATATATACATTTTATGCATACATCTGCTTACACTTTATAGGAAAAAGTTTCATTCGAGTGTAAATAATAGTAATGCATATTTTAGACGATTGAAGGGAGGCAGGTGTCCAAGACCACCCCCCACCGGTTGGCGCTACTGCTCACAC